ACATTTCCCATCATATCACTATTCAAAAATCAATTCTTCTCCCAAAAATCTCTACCAAAGACACTCATATGCAATGTCCAAAACGTATCTGAAAATTCCATTTGCCTTTCCTTTGGTTGAAACTTAGGGTCTGCTTGTTTTTTATTCTCAAATTCTACAGTAAATCAATTCTCATTTTCAACCACACATTCTTCAATAAAATCATATTTTCGATGACATCAATAATTTTTTCTTCTTTTTCAACCACACATTTCCCATCATATCACTATTCAAAAATCAATTCTTCCCTCAAAAATTCCTACCAAACAAGCATTTACTATGTAATGTGAGAGAGAGAGAGAGAGCTAAACATTTATTCCTTGGTTGTTCCTCCACTCATAAAATTTTAAGCACTTAAAAAGGGATATATTGATTTCTCTGTTTGGGCCGGATTAAAATCTGATTTTAATCCAACTCAAAGTCAAACAATCAATATTAATCACATCTTTCATGTGTCCCACATCTTTTTAACCACGCATTTCAAAAACTTCTATCACAATCCACTAAAAATCTAATTTTAATTCGCACCAAACACCCTCTAAAAACTTTGTTTTCAACCCATGTCAATGTATGCAAAATTTTTATCAATGGTCAAAATATGTATCCGCTCAGATATGGCCTTAAGCTGCTTCATTTTAAAGCTTCTGGTGTTAGAGATAAGATATTTATTTACTTAAATTTTATATTCATCGGAGCTAGAGAGAGCCATGTACTTGGATTCCCCTATTGAAATCCTAAATTTTAGACAACCCCAAGTTCCTAAAGTTGCCAAATCGGTAGATGCTTGTTACACTTTAAAAACAGCAGAGTTGTATCCTGTCCTATCTTGTGGTTTCTCTCCTTAATTTCCTTCCTGTTGTTTGTCAAGAATGTCTGATCCCCTTGTAATAGGTAGAGTGATTGGAGATGTTGTAGATTCTTTCCCCCCAACAGTTAAAATGTCTGTCACTTACAACTCGAACAAGCGTGTGTTCAATGGTCACGAGTTCTTTCCTTCCGCCGTTACCTCTAAACCTAGGGCTGAGGTCCTTGGAGGTGATATGAGATCACTCTTTACACTGGTATATATTCTATTATTCTTCACCGCAAATTCTCATTCATCTTATGTGTTTATGTGTCATCTCTTAGTTTCCCATTCATCCATTTGCAGATTATGACAGACCCTGATGTTCCTGGTCCTAGCGATCCATACCTTAGGGAACACTTGCACTGGTATACTCTGGAATTACCTTCTCTCAAATTCAAATAAGGAAAAAAAATGAAAAAACCCTACTTACTATATGACCAATAAAATGTGCATGCAATACTAAAAACTAAGACGGCCACACCACGATATTGAATCAAAGCAGATCTTTTCTGACATGATTGGTAATATTGTGGATTAGAAAATACCAAACAACATTAAAAGAAGAGCTGTATACATCTAAGTTGTAGTTCACGATTCTTGAATTGTCTCGTCTAAAAAGCTTTGACTGTTAAAGATGATCAATTTATTCAGTCAAATTTAGGACAAGATTTTTTAACGAATAAGCACAATGCACAGTTCTCATTAATGGATAACGATGAGAATTGAAGGCAAGAGCCATGTCGAACCATATTATCTAAAAGTTTAGACAATTAGAGGGTATATATATGTGCGCGCGCGAGGGGGCATCTAATAGATTAAAAATGTACCTTGCTTGCACCTGAAAGAGAAATGTTATAGAAAAAGTTGGAATAAATAAATTGTACCATCTTTAACTTTTAAACGATCAGACGATCTTGCAACTTACTTTTCTATACTCATAACCTTTACTTGATATATATTGGACATCCTACAGGATAGTTACAAATATTCCTGGCACAACAGATTCCTCGTTTGGTATGGAATTAATCTATATTTAAATAAAGATAAAGATTTAAATTTAATGAAAGTTGCAAATTAATAACCACTACTTTTTTATAACAATATGTGCTGCAGGAAAAGAAGTGGTGAGCTATGAAATGCCAAGGCCAAACATAGGGATCCACAGGTTTGTATTTCTGCTCTTCAAGCAGAAAAAACGGCAGGTAGTGAACCCACCTCTTTCAAGGGATCGATTCAGCAGCAGACAATTTGCAGAAGAAAATGAACTTGGCCTTCCTGTGGCTGCCGTGTTCTTCAATTGCCAGAGAGAAACTGCTGCTCGAAGGCGCTGAAATTAATCTTCTGAGCATCTACTACTTGGTTTTTAACTTTTATGCTGCAAATGTGTAATAATATTTATCTTGGAATTGTGGAATGCATTTTCTGGAATAAGCTAACTAGTTGGGTTCTTCAGATGGAGAGGTCCCCATATTTTAGTACAAATGACTTATGGTAGTACTCTTTTATGTGGTTAGAGATGTATAATAATAATAATAATAATAATAATAAATGCATGTTATCATAAACTAATTGTTTCCCAAGTTTGATCCCTATTTTTTCAAAATTTATTTTCAACCATACATTTTCCCGTAAAGTAATTTTACATGTGAATAGAAAAATTTTCATTCTTTTTTAACCATACATTCTCCCAAAAATCACTACTTCATAATATATTTTCTTACAAAAATTGGGCCCAAACAAGGACTAATTTAATTCAGGTCCGAGACCTCTACTCAAGATCCTTGTCAAGTGTAAGGGTTCTGCATATTCTTTTGCACTCGACGAATAAGGCATTCTTTCGATCTAATAGGACTCGAAGATCGAGGCATAAATATTCATTCCATGACACGTGAGCATGCGATGTGACCCTTTTCATGACGATGTGACGTTCAGCATCTGTTTGTTTTCAATTAAAAAGAGTTTTTGGTAAAAATTAGTTTAAGAATAATGATTTTTTTTTTACGAATGTGTGATTAAAAATTAGTTCTTATTGATTCCAAAGCATTTATGCCGAAGGAAATCTGAAACTTGTAGGTTTTTTACTTCACATGTACTTCAAGACATTAAAGTTAAGAGAGTATGAAGTTTGTAGATTTTTTACTTCACTTCATATGTGAATTCCAAGGCACTTATTTCGGGAGGGAATTTGAAACTTGCAGGTTTTTGGCTTCATATGTATTCCGAGCCACAATCTTAAGCAATTAGCGCCCCTCTTCTTGGACGATACGATTTAATAGAATGCACTCGTGTGATGGTCAAACAGAAAAAAAATCAGTTCATCAATTACCATGCTAGTTTTACCTTAAACCATGATAGAAAATTCTAAACTTCAAAAAAGTGTCATTAGTAAGTCGCAAAACTACATGATTATCTAGTACAATATATATTGTGAACAAATTTATTTAAATACTATCACAAAAAACTTTACTTTATTTTAAACCAAGCATCTCAAAAAAAAAAAAAAAGACAATAACTCTTTCTTTCTTAAATACTTGTATCTTCGCTACTTGCTACAAAAAGGCTTAATTATTTTGTGTAATTATATAGATGTCATTTTTACATGAATGTCTCGCGGTATCTAAGTTCACCCCAGTCAAAAGAAGGTGTTTGGTGGGGATTAAAATTAGATTTTTAGTGGATTGTGATAGAAGTTTTTGAAATGTGTGGTTGAAAAGATGTGGGACCCATGAAAGATATGATTAATATTAATTATTTTAACTTTGATTTAAATTAAAATCAGATTTTAATCTGACTCAAATAGACCCTTAATATTGAATATGTGCTTTAAATATAGAAATAATAGTGATTTCGTTATAAAAATTGATTTTATTGTAATTTTCTGAAGTATAATTATTTTCACATTTTTTTTTAATATTTGTACATAATTATTAAAGAAAGACGATACTTTTCATTTTTACTAGTGTGGTTAATGTACGTTGCACTATAGTTTTTTAATGTTGAAAATAAATATATGTCAATTTTAGAGAAATTCATTCGTAATCATGAAATATATTTATAAGTTAATTCGAATGAACTCAATTGTCGTCTATATTCTTTATATCTTTTCGATTCTTCATAAGAAGATTTGGTATTAATTGCGTCACAAATGTATTTTGAACTAAATACAATCAATGATTTAATGATTTTCTTTTATATTAGATTGTAAATGTTTTAGGAGCTTAAATGAAGAGTTAATTAGTCATGCTTGACAATTTGANTACTCATGCTTGACACATTTTAGCTTGTTAATTGTTTAGATTCAAGTTGTTTGTGTTAGGAACCAAATTACATTAGTTTAAAGTTCTAATGATGAGAAAAATGATTGTTATTCTTGTGTTATTTTTAATCATATAATCTAACAAGATGACCAACTCCTAAAAGCAACATATACAATTGTCAAGAAGTTAGAGATTAAAAATACCGAGAGTTCTATTAATTTGAAAGTTTGGAGATAGTATATTTTTTCATAATTTATTTATTTGTTTATTATTGTTATTCAAATGATTTGCCGCTTCGAAACAGGATTGACCAATTAGGTCGCGGGATCGAGGGGGCAACGCCAAACGGGGATCAGGTCGCGGGGATCGGGACAGTGCCCCCGACGGAAATTGACCAGCCAGATCAGGTCACAGAAGTCAATGGGGGTAGCACCCCTCGTGGGGGACATGGTGTCTCCGTGCAGAGACACCATGTTTCCGTGGTGCACGGAGAGTGTCTCTACGTACTCCGTGCACCATGGAGACACCATGTCTCCGTGTGTCATGGAGACATGGCACCATGTCTCCATGGTGCGCGGAGATTTTTTTTTCTCTCTAGAGCTAAAAAACTCTTAATCTATATAATAAATTTTTCTCTCTAGAGCCAATTTTTTTTTTTTTTTTGTCACATCACAAAAAATTTCAACAAGTAATAAATTCTAATTCTATATAATCACTCGATTCACTATTTGTCTCTATAATGGATCATAGAATCAATTAGGTTGTTGACCTATGATTGATCATGACATTTATGTTTTGATTATAACAAACAAATCCATCTTGTTTACTAACAAATTGAATTGAGTGTTTAACTCTTCAAAGTTATAAAGATAATTATTCACACTCAAATGAAGTACAAGTGAAGTTTAAACGATCATTCAAGACAAATCACTCGAGACAATAGTGATTTGCATGCGATAATCAAATTGGAACTTAACAAAATTGCAAATCAAGATACAAATCAAAGAGATGCTCAAAGAGATCAAGAACTTTGAAGATGCAGTTATTTATCGAACCTTATTTTTATATGTAAAGGTATAACTCATCAATGTTTAGTAAGTGCATAAAGCTCAAGTATTTCTCATAAATTTATCACTTACATAAATTGATTTGACATGAAAATGATTTTGAACATTTGTAATATATCAAAAATCTTGAAAAATCATTTTCAAACGTCCCTCAAACGAACACACTTCAACTTTCAATCAAAACGTTATACTCCGATTTTCAATCTCATAATTGGGATAGATTTTTGACATAGACAATGATCTAACTTGAAGATGATTTCTGAATCAAAGTGAGTCAGCTTTCTAACCCAGTTTGAATCACCTTAATTGGATATCGAGAGAAAAAGATATGATCAAAATACTTAAAGCTGTGCGGCCTGTCGGTTGACTTCAATCTCATATTGGGACAGATTTTTGACATAAAAA